CAACGCTTCCAGTTTTTTGTCGCAGGACTTATTTGCCAACCTAATAATTTCTTTGCTATAGGTCAGTGTTAAGGGCCAAATCGCTGCCTTACTATCATCGCACTCATGGTCAGTAGTAAAAGTATTGCAGTTAAGAGTGACATTACATTCATAACGTAAAATTCCCACAGCAGAATAAATCTGCTTCCCAGTCCTATAGGCCATTGGTTTCTAATAAGAGTTCCCTAATAACAGTCCCTGATCGGCAGGTAGATGGGTAAGCTGGCAAACTGAACATGCAAGTGGACCTGTGAAGTTAGTGGTTCATTTGATGAAGTGATTTCGAAGTTGATAGCAACATTTTTGAAACTGCTATCGTCTTAACATAGATGTTCAATAATTACATAAATATGTACATATATCTACCTACATGTTGGTTTCGAAAAAATACGGTTGCTCAACTGATGGCCCACAATAATTTATGGGAGCGAAAATAGTCAGAAGTGGTTGGGAAATGTAGCTGGACATTTCTGTGATAAGCAGAGTATGTGATAAAGGGCTTTTGAAAACGTAAAAAGATGAGAGAAAAGTTTCAGCACCACCAGCATCATCGGCTGCGCCAACTGAAACTCCACCATCTAAATCGTCTTCATTCACAACGCCAAGTGGCCGACCGCCACAGATGTCGAAAAGTGCCAGCAACCTCTTCGATTTACACAGCAGCATAAACAAAATCGAGCTTGACATAGATTTAGGTGAGGAGTTTCTCAGCTTTACCAAGCGATTTCTGGTTTTATAGCGCCAAATTTTCAGGAAAATTAGCTCGGCCAGCGTCAAGCCGAGTTGAAGATTCTTTACATTTGCCGTCACCTCGTCCAACCGCACCAACACCAACGTCAGGAACAAGGTACAAGATTGAATCGTTGGCTTTGGTCTATCTATTTTTTCCATGGACTCCTTTGTAAATGCTGTGTTTTTGTATGTACTGAGAGTATAAGGACGGAGGTGATGTAGTGCCAAGTGGCGCACTTTTCCACCTGCACGGTCGCTGGTTCGAATCCCGGAACGGTATTGGCTGGAGCAGACCAAGCCTTCCATCCCTCCGGGATCGTTTAATTGGCACCAGATTCAAGATAAAAGCACTGATTTGTACATCGGCTAACGCCCGCAGGTCATTGTATAGGTCACTTAGGCATTCAATAGGCCACTACGATTCTGAATGGAAGTCCAGTGCGTAGGCGCATCCCTCAGTTGTTATCGATTAACGCCCCAGAACTTTATCCTTTATCCTTCCTGACAGTAGAAGACGTTGGAGAAATGTTATTGAGGAAGAGCTCAAGCAAGAAAGGGAATCCAGGAATAAAGAAGTGAGAAGTAGGTTCGAAAATTGCTCTCAAGGTTCTTAATATGCTGCAGAGTCATTCCGGTCAGAGAATGAGAAATACTGAGAGCGAGAGGTTCAGGATTTAGGTAAGCGGTAGAAAGGAACCCGTGGTGGAACAACATCTATGACTGCATATGAACCGATTTGTGCTGCCCAAAAAGTGCATCGCAACACGCTCACTTTTTTTTTGATGATTTAATCTGTACGGAGACAAACTGACAAACACTACAAAACTGCGATTGAGATGTCCCAGATTTGTAAACTTTTTGCATTGAACGGTTTCCTTGTGGAACTATCCGTTAGAGAAGGAAAGCGTTTTCAGAGACGCATGTATCTTTTGCGCTCATTAGAGTAGTTGCCTTCGGCCGAGCCTAATCTGGCTAACACTATCAACCACTTACTCAAAAACAGCATTCTCCGGAGTTTCCGGAAGTAAGTTGGGGGAAGAATTTCTTGGAACGTCTTATAAGTGAGATGGGCTGATTCTCAGACAGAACTTCGAGTAAAATGGAAACTGTAGCAGTTTACTGCCGGAAGTAAGAGGAGAAGATAAAATGAGGAAATGATGC